AGATAGATTTGCATTTGAATCCTGGCTCCTTGGGCAAGTTACTTCAGCTATTTGAGACTGGAAAACAGGGATGATGATAATAATAGCACTATATATATATATATATATACACACCCATATGTTGTAGGGTTAAATGAAATAGGCATGTGAAGCACTTAGCATAGGGCATATAATAGATGTTCTGAGGTAATAAATGGCTACTCTGGTCTATTCTTTCTCCTGATATGGAGAAGGATGATGGTAGAATGGATACGCTGAGTCCCTGTCAGATTCAGAAATCTCTCAACCAGGTGTTCCACTTAGACAAGCTGGTTCTTCATGGTAAAGTCAAATGATTTACCTGAATGGAAATTAATGGGGTGGAGTGGGGGAAAGGAGACAGCAGGGAAGATCAACAAGTTGTTTTCAGTCTTTTTCTCCTACAATATGCTAGAGGGATGTGGTCCACTCCCATGACTGCCTGTGGCTCCATAGGGCAATAGATTCAGTGATTTTTCCCTTGGAGTGAAGAGGGGGTGTTCTAAGAGGTCTATGTAGTTTGTAAAAGCTTCCCTATCCCTCCCTATCGCAGAAGGAAGGTTCTGACAGCCTCTTGGGAAAGATGGTATTTCTTCTTCCTCACTTCCAGTCATGAGAATCATGGAAACGGGCACTGGGAAACACCCTGCCTTCTTGACAACTCAAAGACAAGTGGGATTATGTAGCAACAGGTCAAGGCAGTGTTTCTAGTGTGGTCCCAGAACAAGTAGCATGAACATTACATGGGAATGTTTTGGAAATGAAAATTATTGAGCCCCATCCTTAGCAGTCTGTGTTTTAGTAAGCCTTCCAAGTAATTCTGATGCATGCTGCAGTCACCGTATCATATAATGATGGGGACATACGAGACATAGGAGCTGAAATCATCACTCCATCTCACAATCCTGGGCTTCCTCTGTCCTGATTTTGGGTTCAGACTCCAGTAACCTCTAAGCCTGATACTCATCTGATATTCTGGATGGTTCATATTAGGAAGATTGAGCTGTGCTGTCAACATTTCTATCATCATATTGTGTAAGGATTCCTGGCCAACTGTACTTGCTCCCTAGGCCAGCTAAGGACTGGCTTTGTTTCTCTTACCCAAGACTATGAATTTATTGCTCTCTTTGGACTGAGGAACATTCCAACCTCCTTCCAACATCTATTAAATAGGAATTATTCTTGACTATTTGGATGACTTTGCTGCTATGTGTCAAATATGGAGTCATAACACTTTATTTTTGAAAATTATTCATCTATTTCATTCTACTCTTTTTGTGTTTTTTTCCACTTTTGGTTCAGCCCAACAAACACTTATTGAGAAACTATTAAATACCAGGCACTTTGCTAATTGAATGAAACATAGTCCTTGTCCCCTGAGGAGCATATAATAGGGTGACTAGAACTAGTTGTTAAGCACCCACTGTGTTCAATGCATTCTTTTTTTTTTAAAGATTTTATTTATTTATTTGAGAGAGAGAATGGTAGAGAGAGAGCACATGGGGGGGGAGGGTCAGAGGGAGAAGCAGACTCCCCGCTGAGCAGGGAGCCCGATGCGGGACTCGATCCCAGGACTCCAGGATCATGACCTGAGCCGAAGGCAGTCGCTTAACCAACTGAGCCATCCAGGCGCCCTGTTCAATGCATTCTTAAAGACATCATCTTTCATCTTCATAATATTACAAGAAAGATATTGTATTCCCCCATTTAGTGATGAGGAATCTGAGACTCAGAGTCCAAGTCTATACTGTAAGTGACAGAACTAGGATTTGAACCTAGGTCAGTCTGGCTCCAAAGCTCATGCTCATTCTATAACAATAAATTCATTCTGAGTGCATACATAAGCAGGGTAGGTCAGCATACTATTAAAAGCTTCTATTCTGTATAATTCAATTTTAAATGTTAAAGATGTACTAAAAAGAAAGTTCATTCTGGGACATCTTTCTCAATAGACATTTTTAAGGATAGAAACCAATGACCCAGCAAAGTGTTTCACACATGTTAGACTTTGAGTAATGTTTGCTTAATGAATATAAAATGTGTCTTTAGAATAATCAGGTTGGTAGACTGATAATATGTTCTACCAAGTATCTATCTGGGGTATGAGAAGTAGTAATTTGAATTTCATAGAGGCGGAGGGGGGTGGCTACCTGATCTCCTGAGACAAAGTACAAAATTTGCTGAAATAAGAATTAACAAGGAATAGAAGGTATTTGGGTGGAGAGGAGGTATTTAATAGGTACTACACAAGGCACAAACCTTAATTTAGAAAGTTTTAAAATAGTTTCTTGGTCTTTTCTGTTTGCATGTACTTCAGTTAAAAAGTTACAAAGAATACTGAATTTCTGAGTGTCAGGGGGCATTTGACCAGGTGAAATCATTTTTCTCAAAATACATAGTCTTTATTACCTTGGGTAATAATCAAAGATGTTATGCCTCCATAATCGTTGACAACCAGTTCAGAGCAAGTTAATTCTGAGTAGTAATTTAGAATTGGAGAATTGGAGGAGAAAAAGATACAGCAAAGGGTACCACCTAGTGGCCATCCAGAAGCTGTAACAATTTAATCAGCCTTTGGCTTTAGGAAAAATTCAGCACACTGACCATCCTTCTAACTCTGTGGTGGGCTCTCAGCAGACAGAAGCTTGACTTCCAATCCATTTTCTAGATCTGGAAAAATTGAGTATGAGTCCTCCAGATACTAAGGGTATTTAATCACAGATTTGAATCAGAGAGAATTAAAGTTGTTTCCTGAACTTAATAGAGTGGAGTGGGGAAGTGTGAAATCATAATGTTTTCTTTCTTTGCTGATTTCCCCCTGGAAAAGTGTAATGTTGTTTGTGCCTAATCTATGACCACTCACCAGTTCCTCTTTCTATGGATGAACTCCAGGGGTGGTAGGAGCAAATGTGACCCAAAATTTGAAAAGGAATTTTTTTTTTTTACGATTTTATTTATTAGAGTGCACATACGAGAGAGAGAGAGTGTGTGTGTGTGTGTGAGAGAGACAGAGAGAGAGAGCAAGGGCAGGGGGAGAGGAAGAAGCAGACTCTCCACTGAGCAGGGAGCCCAACACTGAGTAGGGAGCCCAACGTGGGACTCCATCCCAGGACCCTGGGATCATGACCCAAGCCAAAGGCAGATGCTTAACCAACTGAACCACCCAGGCCCCCCTAAAAAGGAAAATTCTTAAAGAGAATTGCTCACAAGAGACTGACAAATCCTACTTTAATTTTTTTGATGTAATTCCAGACTTACAGAAAAGCTGCAAGAATAATACAAAGAATTCTTATATATATTTCACCCCGATTTCCCAAATATGTATATTTTACCAGGCTTGCATTTCTTTTATTGTTCTCTTTCCCAATCTCTCTCTCTCTCTTTACACACACACACACACACACACACACACACACATACACACTATTTGAGAATAAATTGCAGACATAATTCCCTGTTGCTCCTAAATACTTTAATATGTAACTCTAAAAATAAAGGAAATTATCTTACTAAAGTCAGGAAATTATCATTGATTCAGTACTATCATCTAATGAACAGACCTTATTACAATTTCATCAATTATTTCACTAACAGACTTCATAGTAAAAGGAAAAAACTATTGTCCAGGATTTAATCCTAACTAAATGCACATATTACATTTAATTTTTATGTTTCTTCAGTCTTTTTAAATCTAGAACAATTCTTTAGTCTTTCTTTATCTTGCATGACTTGGCTAAAAAATTAAGGGTAAATTAAGGGCTAAAAAATTAACAATATCATAATACTAACAAATTATAAACTATAGAAAAAACAAGAATCCATGAGTTCATGCTGATATATATAAATGACTAACTAAATGAGGAAGAAGGAAAAGTTCTTCCTAAGGAGAATCCTAACTAACAAATGCAGAAGGAATGATGGATGAGAAAATCACAACTTGATAACCATGGTAGTAATAATCAGGTAAAAGTCATTAAAACTAGATATTATTGGATATTAAAACTAGTAGGTGAACGATTGATGAGTAATAGGATGTTTACATAATTTCAAAGTATTTCCCCACAAAATACATATTAATTACAAAGAGAAAAATAATTTTACATTGAAGAAGGCTGGAAGACAGCTGCCTTAACAAGGGATGAAAGTTAATATCACCAGTAATGATACAATTAGAGAGTGTGTGCCTCCTGATAGGAAGCTCTGAGATGGACACATTACTTTTTGGGTATTCTTTGCCTAAGGTATAACCTGAATTTAAACTTAAGGAAACATCAGGCAGAGCGAAACTGAGGGACAATCTATAAAATAAATGGCTTATATTCTTCAAATTCTGCCTTTTAACTAGAAAACTTATAGCTTCCCTAACAGCCTGACTTTAGACTGGGTGTATGGGTTAGGGTGGTTAAGGAAGATTCCGTTCTTCAGGGCAAAGGTCAGGTCTTTTTTTTTATCTGGGGATGCTCTGAGTCCTTCCATCAGGAGACACCTGTGCCCATCAGGATGCCCTGGGGCCAGAGGTGTCAGGTCCAGGAGACCGCATCTCCACTGTAAGGTGTTTGGCCAGGGCCTTGGAGTATTCCAGAATTCGGAGGTATTTCCCAACGGCATAGATATAAGACAAATGAAAGGATGCAGAAGGTGGAAATATCTTGGTTCTGGGGAATAAGAACTAGGAAGTTAAGCTGGTTTAGGAAGAGAAAAGTGAATTTTCAGAATGACAATATCAAGAGACAATTTCTGAGTGGAGTTCAGTCTTTCTGAGGTAAGTTGAGAGAAGAAGAGGAGACCTTGTAGGCTAAGATATTCCCTGGTTTCCCCAATGCCTTATTAGCCTCCCCAAACAACTCTAGGGGAGGGTAGGCCCAATGGGATCCCATCTAGGTAGCATCTCTGGCCCCAGGGCAAATGGGCTTTCCTGTCTCCTCTGGAGAATGGATATAGGAAACAGTGAGCGGGACATAGCCTCTTGGGTTGTTTTCTAGTGACCTATGGAATGACAAGCTCCAGTGCCTATTATTACACCAAAGTGATGTCCGAGCTCTTCTTACATACCCCGTCAGACACCGGAGTCTCCTTCCAGGCCATCAGCAGCATGGCGGACTTCTGGGATGTGAGTATGAGATCCCCTCTACCTCTCCCCTCTCCTTTTCAATGGCCTGAAGCAAAAAGCCACAGGCCAGGGCTCAGGAATGTCAGACAGTAGACCAGGCCATATCCAGAGACCAGATCATTCTGGGACCAGGCTGAGTCAAAGGGTCAAGCAAGAATCAATGGGTCAGACTGGAGTTTAGGTGAAGGTAGATGAGAGGGATGAAGGATAAAGGGATGATGATCAGGGAGTCAAGCCAGAGTTAAACTAGTATTGAGAGTCAGAGGTAAGACTGAACTTCAAAATGCATTTTAAATAAAGAGTAGGGCCACATCAGGTCAAGAACTGGTCAAGGTTCATGGGTCAGCTGGAGTCCAACAGAAGCAGCCTAGAGACAAGCCTGGGGGGTCAAGGAGTGAAAGCAAAAGTCATTCCAAGAATAAAGGTCAGGATGAGGCAGGGTCAAGCTCAACCCAGCTTGTGGTCTAGTTTGCCCAGGGTCCACTACTGGACAGTTTGTATTGGACCAAATGGTACAACAACCAGAGCCTGGGCCAAGGCTCCCACTCCTTCATCTACTATGAGAACCTGTTGCTGGGGGTTCCAAGGCTACGGCAGCTGAGGGTCCGCAATGACTCCTGTGTGGTGCATGAGGACTTCCGCGAGGACATTCTGAGCTGCTACGACGTCTACTCTCCAGACAAGGAAGAGCAGCTCCCCTTTGGGCCTCTCAATGGCACAGCGTGAGTGAGTCTGCCCACCAACGTTGCCGGGCTTGCTTCTCTGAGCCTGACACCATTCTGAGGTTTGGGAACCATTTCCACTTAGTCTTAAAGAGCCTTAGGGGAGCAGAGGGTGGGGGGCATCTCTCTGAGTCCCATCTGTGACTGTTTGGAGATTTTGGTTTGGGTCACTCAGGAACAGAGAAGGTACCTTAGCAAACAGAGCCACAGTCTCTGGACTCATTTCCCTACACAGATTGCAGTCACATTTGCCCTACTCTGGAGGCAGTCCTGCCAGAGAAAGCATCCTTTCTTGCCCAGATGTTCTTAGGTGTATGGAGAATGGATGAAACACTGATGTTGCTACACAAATTGTAATTGGAAGAGTCTGACCCTTGGACCTGATAGGGGAAGCAGCAAGGAGTTGAGGATGGATGAAGAATTAGGAAAGAAAGAGGGAAAGGATGGAAAGGATATGAAAGAAGGGGAAGGAAGGGAGGGCCCAGGGAGGAAATCTGTGGACAGAACAGAGAATCGTGCGGTGAAGCAGCCAGGTGCACAACCACAAGAACAGAAAGTGTCTTTTCCGGATTATGTGAGCCAGGTGTTTCCCTAGTGGGGACTACTCAGTCTGGGGTCAAAAGTGGGCATGGGTTTGCCATCCATAGTTTTGGGGAACATCATGAGAAATCAGGAAATTTATATTTGAGTTTCAGTTCAGCCACTGACTAGCTGCATTATCTCAGACATCTCTTAGATTAGTCTTAGATTCCTCATCTTCAAATGTGGATAATATTTACCCTCCTTTCTCACATAGTTGTTAGTATCAAACAAGATAATATATGTGAAATATATATTATATGTGATATGTATATATAATGTATATGAAATTGTAAAGCCCAGGCAATCATAAAGTGTTGCCATTGCCTTGGGAGATCAGCTTCTGGACTGGCTCAGACCTCTCTGCTCAGATGGCTTCTTCTGTGACAGGTGGACATACCATTCACAGGATGAGCTGGGGGGCTCCTCTCACTGGGGTCGGTTGACAAGCTACAGTGGAGGTGGCTACTATCTGGACCTTCCAGGATCTCGACAGGCCAGTGCAAAAGCACTCCAGGACCTTCAGGAGGGCCTGTGGCTAGACAGGGGCACTCGAGTGGTCTTCATTGACTTCTCAGTCTACAATGCCAACATCAATCTTTTCTGTGTTTTGAGGTGGGTCCCCTTTCCTTATCTTCCCTCCATCCATGGTTCCTGGTTCTCTTCTCTGATTGAGACCCTTCCTTAAACTTGTACTGTATGGTGGGGTTGTGGAGGAGAGGGGATGGGAAGAACTATCCCAGTCCAGGCCTCGCCAGTTATCTGTCCCTCCTCCCACAGACTGGTAGTGGAGTTTCCAGCTACAGGAGGTGCCATCCCATCCTGGCAAATCCGCACGGTTAAGCTGATCCGCTATGTCAGCAACTGGGACTTCTTTATCATTGGCTGTGAAGTCATCTTCTGCATCTTTATCTTCTACTACGTGGTAGAGGAGATCCTGGAGCTCCACATCCACCGGCTTTGTTACCTCAGCAGCATCTGGAACATTCTGGACCTGGTGGTTATCTTGGTGAGGGACAGATATCTTATACTTGGGACATAGTAGGAGGAGGAAGGGGATCTACCCTGTTAGGGACTCCAAGTTCTTCCTTTTGGAGTGTCAAGTCCTCTTTATGACTTCTGGTCAAATCACTGTGTAAAAGCTCCCTAAGCCAGAGGCTTATGTTCCCCTGGCTCAGCCCCTGGGAAAACCCTGTCTCCTATATGCCTTCTCCCTCTAACCTGTGATCCAGGCACTGCCTTTTTTATGTACTTGCTATTTTCTCTTCTGTCTTTTGCCTTAATGACCTGTCCCTTTGAAACCCCTACCTTCTCTCTTTTCTTCTATTAAAATATTCTGCCTCTTCATCTTCATCTTTTTCCTATTAACAGGATACATTAATTTCTTGACCAAGGCTAGGAAGTGGTGGGAGAAATAACATTACTTGGCCCCAGTTCTCCAAGATCCTTTACAACCTACATAAAAGCCTTTTCCTTGGGATTTGAGACATTCCCCCCAATCATCCTATTCAGTTTCATTTGAACCTGAAATAGTCAACAACTCAGAAGGGAAAGATTTTTTTTTCCCACCTGACTTACCTACCCCAGCTCTCCCCTAGGACCTTATCATTGAACTTCCCTTGAGATCACGACTTCTCTGACACCTCTGACCCCTGTGATGACAGCTCTCCATTGTGGCTATGGGCTTCCACATATTCCGAACCCTTGAGGTGAATCGGCTGATGGGGAAGATCCTGCAGCAGCCAAACATGTATGCTGACTTTGAGTTCCTCGCCTTCTGGCAGACACAGTACAACAACATGAATGCTGTGAACCTCTTCTTTGCCTGGATCAAGGTACGTTGGGACCCCTCACCCCCAGCAACACCTCAGGGCACTCATTCTCCCTTCCTCAGTACTTGTCTCATTTTCCTTGTCTGGTTTGGCAACTCTGGTGACCTCCATAGGCCCCTGGAGTGGACTAGTCAAAGCTTTTCTCTTTTCTTCCCTCACCACTTGGTTCAACATGGCATTTCCAGATATTCAAGTACATCAGCTTCAACAAAACCATGACTCAGCTCTCCTCCACGCTGGCCCGCTGTGCCAAGGACATCCTGGGCTTCGCCATCATGTTCTTCATTGTTTTCTTCGCCTATGCCCAACTTGGCTACCTGCTTTTTGGAACCCAAGTGGAAAACTTTAGCACTTTCATCAAGTGCATGTGTGTGTCCTGCCCCCTTCACTCCTCCCTGGGCCCTCAACCTCCAGCTCTGTGGGTGTGTGTATCCTTGGGGAAGCTGGGTGTATGTGTGCAGGTGTGTGTCTGTGCTTAAAGCATCTGTGTGAGAATCTCCAGAATCTCTGGTGTGTGTGCTCAAGTATTTCTGTACCTCACTCTCTATCAGGTTGGAAGTGCAGTGAGAGGTCTGAGTTCACCAAAGAGCAGCAGTTAGGAAAGTGGGTTGGGGTATGAATAGGGGTCAGGGTTATGGTTAGGCTCTGGGTGAAGCCCAGACCCTGGTCTCTCAGTTTCACTCAGTTCCGGATCATCCTTGGGGACTTTGACTACAACGCTATTGACAATGCCAACCGCATCCTGGGACCTGCCTACTTTGTCACCTATGTCTTCTTTGTCTTCTTCGTGCTCCTGGTGAGGGTCTCTCTGAGAGGTGGGAATTGGGAGCTTGAGGGGTGGAAACATAAAGGACCTGAGGGTGAGGTTTTGCCCCCCACCATGGTCTGTACTCAGGATTAAGATGGGTGTCTCAAATCATGGGTGCAGAATGAGGTGGGGGAGCTCTGGGTCTCCTGAGAGCTAGCTAATGTGCTCAATATTGCCAGCACAGTCAGGTAACTTGCAGAGTATAAGGGAATCTGCAGGCTCCCTCAGTAAAACGAAGCCTCTATTTTCCAAGGATGGAAAGGGAGAGAAATGTGCCCCATGAAGAGAAGTGGTTGAACCTAGAAGCCTCTATATCTATTCTCTCCTTACTCTAGGAATCTCTGGCTATTTATCACCATTACTTTATAGTCTCTCTTTCTCTCTGCCGACTATGAAAGATCTGGGTTTAATATTTATTAACAAAGCTAGCAGGTTTCTTTATTTGATCATGGTTAGGGATAGGTGGGTTAGATTGGGGTTATATGATAAAGATAGCAAAACTATACTCTCAGTGATTGGTCAGCCCTTATATGGAGGTGAACTCTTGCATATGATGGGGTATCATTTTAGTCAGGTTACTGCAGAACAACTGAGTGAGGATAGCAGTTGGGTGAGGGAGCTTGATCCACCCCTAAAAGGACTCTGCTGAACGGGGCTCTGGGGACCCTGAGATGTGGGGGTTAGTGGGCTGCAGAGCTGCAGTTGAAAGCATTGGCTCCTTTAGAACATGTGTCTGGGATATTAATAGGGTTAGTGGGCTCATTGCTGTTAGTGGGTCTGGGGGTGAAGACCCAGGTCCCTACTTTATCTCCAGAACATGTTCCTGGCCATCATCAATGACACATATTCAGAGGTCAAGGAAGAGTTGGCTGGACAGAAGGATGAGCTGCAACTTTCTGACCTCCTGAAACAGGTAACCACTCAGTCTCCTTGAGCCACACATCTGTGTCAGGGACCAGGTCCAAGGCTCTGTGTCCTGGTCTATTCCTGACTGGTGTAGGGCCCTGTGCCCACCCTTGTGTGGCTTTGACTTATCCCCGGAAGCTTGGCATCTTGTGGGTGAGGAAGGGGGCAAGGGATGATGAGAAGGCTGTAGGAACTGGTACCTGTTTCCTTTTTCCTTCCAGGGCTACAACAAGACCCTACTGAGGCTGCGTTTGAGGAAGGAGCAGGTTTCAGATGCACAGAAGGTCCTGCAGGGTGGGGAGCAGGAGATCCAATTTGAGGATTTCACCAACACCTTGAGGGAGTGAGCAACCAGAAATCCAACCTTCTGATATTGCTCTATAAGTCCTTGGCCCTCGACCATATACCCTTTGCCTAAAAACCTGTGATGTTGGCCTATGGGCCTCTGACCTTGGCTTTTGGCCTTTGACTTTGGCCTATATATCTCTGATTCTGACCTTCAGAATTGTGCCCTTGGTTTAAGGGTCTCTGACCATGTTCTAGAACATTCTGGACCTCACTGAACAACTTGTAGGACTAATGTAATAATACAATTTCTTCATCATTACATACATTTCTCACTCCCACAAAACTTTGTAGTTGGTACTGTGCTCCCCCACAAACACTGGCCTATTCTCTTAGCATCCCTGTTTCCCAGTTAAAGATATAAGCAAACACTGAACAAATATATTGTGAGCACCAGTTGTGAGCCAGGCACTAAGTAGGGCACACAATTAATGAGACAAAGCATTGTCCTCCAGGAGCTCATACACATGTAAGCAAATAAACTGAATCACAGAACAAGTTCAACAAAGAAGTGACTAGAAGAGAGGGAGCACAAAGTAAAGAGAGTATTCAATTCTATTTTTAAGCTTAAGGGAAGGCTTCCAGGAAGAGGTGATGCATGAATACCTACAGGAGGATGAATAGCCTACATGTAGACAAGCAGGGGAAGTCCATTCCAAGAAAGATAAAAGCATATACAGAGGCATAGAAGTGTTGAGCAACATGTATAGGAATAAGAAGTAGCTAAGCATTGCTAAGGTATCAAATAAAAGTGGGGCATAGCAGGAGATGATACCAGAGTAATGAACAAGGGCTACATTGGGAAAGGGCTTGAATACCACCATTCTATCCAAAGAATAGGGTGCCTGGGAGGGATTTTAAGCAGAGAAGGGGTGTATTTAGACATGCGCTTTAGAAAGATTAATTACTCTAGTTGCATTATAGAGGATGGATTTCAGGGGTAGGGAGTGAAGGGGAAGCCAGTGGGGTGGGAGTGGGGGGATGGATTATTTAGAGGCAAAGAGACTTTGCAACAATTCCTATAGAACACCAGGAGGGCCCGAACCTAGCCAGCAGGACTAAGAGAAGGAAGACATAGATTTAAAACAATTTACTGGGGGTAAAATTGCTAGACCTTGGAGATCCTGGCTTTCCCATGTGGTCCTATCCTTCCACAGAGAGCAAGAGTCAGAGAGTCTGGAAAAAAAAGTGGGGAGTCCATAATTGAGAGATCACAACCACAGCAAGTCAGAAGTCATTTCATCATACTGTTTTCCTCAGACTCAGGCACGCAGAGCATGAAATCACTGAGCTCACAGCTGCCTTCACCAGGTTTGATCAAGATGGGAATCACATCCTGGACAAGAAAGAGCAAGAACAAATGCGACAGGACCTGGAGAAGAGGGTAAGCCCAGCTGGCTGGGGGAGAGGCAGCGAAAGAGAACCACTCACTCTCCCCTCCCTGCCAACGCACCCAGAACACAAATCCAAATGGAAAACCCTTCAATAGATGGACAGGAAAGAAGCCTCTAGAATAGTTGTTCTCAAACTGCTGCACATTAGAATACCCTGGTGGGGTGGGGGTGGGGAGTCAAATAATCCTCATACTCAGGTCACATACCCTAGACAGAATCTCTGGGGGAGTCAGGGACCCAGACACCAGTACTTCAAAAAACTCGCCAGTTGATTCCAATGCATAGCCAAGGTTGAGAACCACTGCTCTGAAACAGAGTCTGAGAGGGAAAGGTTCAATTACCCGAGAATCCCTGACAATTCTTTCTGAGGACTTGCCTTGGGACTTTCAAACTCGGATCCTTAGCTGCCCCTGCTGTGCCTGCTTCATCCCTATCCAGTATATACCCCAAAATCAAGGGCAGGAGGGAGATTGGCAGGAATTCTGGTACTGTTCTTCCTTTCCCAAACTGAGTTGGCTTCTAGTGAGGGTCTCATTAATCAAGGGTTCCAAGAGCTCATGTTTTGTTTCTGTGGGAGGTGATTCTCTCCCAGAGGTTGGTCCAGCTTTGTGTTCAGCACCACCACACTGATCCTATTATCTCTAGAGTTTGAGAGGGAAGGGGAATGCATGAACTGGAGCCCAGGGGCCTGGTCCTGGGAGACCATGAGAGCAGGTGATTAAATAGGAGCTGATACTTCCCAGAGTCATCTTCTCCTCTCTGACTTCCTGATCAGGTGGCCCTCAATGCCGAGATTGAGAACCTGGGCCAGCCCATTGTGAGTAGTCCACCAGGCGAGTCGGGTCCAGAGGCTACCAGAGCAGGTGGCTGGGTTTCAGGAGAAGAATTCTACACGTATGTGCAGCCAGGGGCCCAGGGCTGAGTGTGTTTGTAATGTCCTACCCTGAGCTTTTTTCTCAACCTTCTGATTTTCCATGCTAGCCCAGGGAGAACCTCTGCCCCCCTTTAATTCTCCCTACAAGGCTGGGCCTTACCTTCCTTGCACCCATCCAGACACAGACCATAATGGCTCTCCTACCCCTATAGACGCTTAGCCCCACAGATGCATATTTCTGCTCCCTCGGTCTCTCTCAAATCCTGCAGACTCACAAGGAGAGTTCTTCAGTTGGAGATTGTCCTGGAAGGAGTCATGTCCCAGGTGGATGCTGTGGGCTCAAAGCTAAAGATGCTGGAGAGGAAAGGGCAGCTAGCTTCCTCCCCAGGCCTGGTGAGTGGCCCTTCACTTGGTCCCTCTTGGTTCCCCACATTTGAACTCTACCATCTTTTCTACTCAGTGGGTGGAAGCAAACCATTTTTGAAAGAGTGTGTTTCCAGGCTCCTGGGGCAACATGTTCACAGCAGTCACTGTATCAGTGGAGGGAAGGCCTGAAGTTGGTTGCTCTGGCCTGAGGGCTGCCTTGGCTTCCAGGAGACTGTCTGAGGTTGAAGAATCAGACCCAGATTTTCTAGATGAAAGGAAGTGGAACACAAACTCCTTCTTCAAATGACCTGTCCCTCTTTCTTCCAACAGGGAGATCAAGGCATTTGGGAGCACCTGCAGCCAACCCCAGCTGTGACTCCAACCTCCTGGGGAGTCCAGCGTGGGCAGGAGAGTGGTGGGGGAGGGGCCCTAAAGCATCAGACAGCAGCCTCCTCTCTCATTGCCTCCTCAGAGACCTCCTCAGGACATGCCCTCCACTTCTAGGGCAGCAGTTCCCTCCACTGCTACTGCAGAGTCCTACCCTGTGTTTGGCCCCTTGAACCAATGTTTCTACCTGTAGCTTGTATCATGCTTAGGCTTGTGACTCAATGTTTCTGTGTGTAGCCATGTAGCTCTGTGTAGCTCTTTGAGATAACACTTGCCACTGGGCCCCTCACTCCCTGTGCTCTCAGCTCTGCTGTGATGAAAAAAAAAGTTAATAACAAACAGAATAAAGGAAGGGAGGGTTATGTTCCCTAAGCACCTGGCATCTGGATAGCCACGATTTGTGAAAAAAGTAGAAGGCAAGAGAGCAGCATTCCCTAAATGTCTTCCTATTTGCCAGTGAGTCTTATCCTTTGTGCATCTAGAGATCTGCTGCTAGCACCCATGGGATTCTTGTCTTCTTCATAGAGTTTCCAGGTGAAAGAGAAGGGGAAGGCTTGGAGGAGAGGAAACTTTCTCACATGTGGAGATTACAATGTTGCAGAGGTGTTGGAATGCCCCTCCATCCAGGGCAAAGACCATGACCGCTCAGTTGAGGAGGCTGCTTACGACATTCCACTAAACACTGGGAACTGACAGGGCTGTAAACAGGGACATAGATGGAGCCCTAGGAGAATCGGACAAAGAAATGATTTCAGGATTCAGAGATCTTTGGAATAAAATGTGGTGGGCTCTGACACTATTCTTGCAAAGGACATATGGGTTTCTCTGGTGACTATCAATAAAAATCCTTAGAAAAATCAGGACTTTGCATTTGCTTCTGGGATTGTAGGAGGAAGAAGAGAGGCTGGAGCTGTGAACCATTCTTGTATTTGGTAAAAGGCGAAAGATTTGTGCGGTCTGAAGAGAAACCAGAACGTCCGTTCTTGTATTTGGGCTGGAACACTCATCCCTGCCAGGAGGGGTAGACTGGCAGCCGTGACAATGTGAAGGTGCTGAAATAAGAACTTCTGGCTCATAGGAATGATTTGAAATGGCATTATGACTGTAGCATTTAGAGAGTGGAGACAGTGACCTAGGGAGACCTGGTCCTCAGGATGAAGAGAGTAAGGTAGCCCTTACACTGGCATGAGGGGTAGCTGGGTTGTGTGTGTGTGTGTGTGTGTGTGTGTGTGTGTGTGTGGTGTAGGGTGTGGGAGGTAAGAGGGTGAGATGGAGAATAAGAACAGGACTAAAAACTTCTACACTAGGATTTTGGGTGTGTAGGTCTGTGTCCCAAGACCCACTATATACCTTTTTCCCTTCCCCTGTAATCTTTACCTCTTTCTCATTTTGCACCTTGCTGCCCAGTGGTTTTTTCTCATCCATTCCCTTCTCCCACCCTTTTCACCATCCCATCACATACACTCTATACACCTGGGAGACTTGCGAAGCAGCTAAATGCAATCAAGATAACCAGAGTGTATCCTCCGCTGTAAAAAGTTACAAAGCTTTCTTCCAGAAAGACTGTATCAGCTGAAGAGAAGTAGGTGCCAACTTGCAGCTCAAGAAAAAGGGGCAAACGAGTTGTTTAACCAAGACATCGGAAGGGCCAGTATTTCGGCTCAGGGATCAATGAATGAACGCTTCCCAAAGGCTGGATGAGACTACCTTCAAAAGCATGGATTCCCTGAGCAGTCTTTGGCGACGACTACCAGCCTGGGTGGGGAGTGTCTAGGGAGAGGATAACCTGTTCTTGTGACTTTGGTCAGTAGGCCACCAGAGCTAAAACAATCCCAGAGAGGTCGTCGGTCTTACTACACTAGTGACAGGGATGAGCACATTCTCGGTTCCAGACGTTGGCAACGGATCAATTCGCAATAGCTTATCTTAGCTTCAATTTCAGCTTCAAGCTTACTCTTTGTTATTACTCGTCGTAAGCGTAAGCCGCAAGACGCAATGGAGAAGGGGAGTGTCCCGGGGCTGCGAGCCCAGGGCGGGGAGGGCGGGGCACGGCCGGCGCGCAGGCGCGGGCATCCCACAACCGGAAGCAGCGCGGGGCCAGGCATGGCGGCGGCGGCGGCGGCGGCGGCCCAGGGTGTCTCCGCGACCCAAAGAGAGGAGCCGGTTCGAGGTACGTCGAGTAGCTGGGGATGAAGTGTCCAGCAGGAGGCTGGGGGCTCATCTGGCAGGAGCGAGCAGGTCGGAGGGGCGCACCTGACCTGAGGACTGGGGTGGTTTGGCCACGGGATCGGTCTGAGCCAAGGGCCGGTGCAAGGGAGCAGAGTTGGCGTGTCAGGTGGGGCAAGGACAAAGTAAGGGACTTGAAATTATGGCACATGGAGAATAGAGCCGACCTGATCGAATGAGGACAGGTGGAGGGATGTGGGGAGAGGGTGCCGTGGCTGGATTAGGACCCGGTGTAGGGCGGACACTTACTCGTTCTCCTTTGATTCAGACGATGCCGCGGTGGAGACAGCTGAGGAAGCAAAGGAGCCGGCTGAGGCTGACATCACTGAGCTCTGCCGGGACATGTTCTCCAAAATGGCAGCTTACCTGACTGGGGAACTGACGGGTGAGGCGGGGTGTGGGCTGATTCGGGTACTGCCCTGCGTCACTCGCTGGAGCTGTAGTTTGGCTCTGGGAGCTGTGAGGTGCGTTAGTAGCATCAGTCTGTGGCTCCCTCCCCAACACTCCCCATGCCCTGAAATGTGCCTGTTGGAAGTTTGGGAAGGTTATGAATGGGAAAGAAGAAGGTCCATTCCTTCCCTGGAGAAATTCACTAGCTAATTTCAGAAATACATAAAAATACCTAATATAACTGCAAGCCTGGGTAGTGTAGACTAAGTATGAGAAGACAAAGAATTCATCAAGAAGTGCTTCCTGGAGGGAGGTGTATTTTGAGCAGGATTGTGAAGGGAATGACTGACCAAAAAGGGGGGAAACGATTGGTGAGTGAGGGGTATAAGCAAGCAGTTTGTTCCCTTAAAGTAGATGTATTTACTAGGGCAAAGAGAAATGAAATTGGGGAATGGAGAGTGACCTGCAGATTTAGGAACCTACTAGGTTGGTCTGAGGATTTGGTGACCCACACTTGGGGACATGATTAGTTTTGGGTTCATTGTGTATTTCCAGGTGAACACATGACTGTGTGTGGAGAAAGGTCCAAAAAGTGAAGTTTGGTCCTGTGTGGCCTCTCATAAGCATTGTTTCACTTCCCCAGGAAATTGCTGTGAGCTAAATTTGGGAACCAGAAATAAGGAGAAAATGCTTGATGCAGAGTGGGAGGGCTTGTGAGGCTCTATCAGTCTGATCAGTTTTTTTAGTTATTTCTGAGCAAGAGAAACCAAGTGACAAAATCTAGATTTTTTGGCTTCTCTTTAAAAATTCCAAAGATTTGGCAATACTAGTTCCCCATTCTTGTGATGCTGCGATTGACTAGAGCTGAGCAGCTGTCTCCTCTAAATGGCCTAGTGCAATGCAGTGTGTCCCCACCACTCTTTTTTCTCCCTTTTACTGGGACCTGGGAAGTTGCCCTTTATCACTGTTCTTACAGTGTTGTTGTTTTTTTTTTTTAGTAGTGGTAGAGAAATGATTTTCTGGACCAAGATTTCTATCCAAGTTGGTAAAGTAAATTATAGGTGAGATGACTGTGTGTTCTAAGAAATGGGAGAGAGCATATTTTTTTGTGGAAGTGAATAATCTTACGTTTTTAACATGCAAATACCTGGCTTACTTCATTCATTTACATGATCTTGCAGACTCCTAGGTATTAAAGTGTGACCCTTGTTTTTTTTTTTAGAGACTAATTTGCTGGCCAAGTATGGTTATGGAGGAGAGAGGTCAGACACATGAGCAAGATTTCGAATGAAGAGTAATGATGATGGTCAGTGACAGGGTGGTAGTAAAAGAAATGGAAAGGAGAGCATGTCTGCAAGAATATCACAGAAGTGGAATTTATAGGACTTGTTGAAGTGCCTTTGGAGGGATGGGAGCAGCTTAAGAGGTGTTCTAGGTTTTAAACTGATGGTGCCATCATCTAAAATAGGCAAGTGGGAAAGCAGAACCATGTTTAGTGTAAAAAATATTTTTGGTTTTGGCTTGGCTGATTTTAGATATTATCAGGACACTCAGGTGACTTGCACTTTTGAGTTCTGAGCTCAGAGAGTGATCTGAGCAGGGGAGACAGATTTGGGAGTCACCTGCACAGCAGTGTGAGTCAAGGCTCTGCAGGATGAGATTGGCAGGGATGTGCTTAGGGGTAGCTGAGGGCCTCAACTATCATCTCAGTGAATGCTTGAATAGGGCAATTAATTTTTTCTAACAACAGTTCTTAAAGTACCTAGGTTTACAAATGATTTACTTATCACAAAATTGATTTAAACAGAATGTAATTCCCTGTGATTGTCATTCTTACTTGTACAAATGCTTTTTTGAGTTTGAAAGGAAGCTAGCATCACCCTGGGAATACCCATAGGAATGTGCCACCCATGTAAACATCAGTTGGGTTACAGCTGAGAAAAAATTGGGAAGTGATAGTTAAGGATGAATGAGAAAGGATCTAGCATAGAAACCTACAAAGAGTGGATTGAAAGAGATGAGAAAATCAGGGTAATATGATGACGTGGCAGCCAAGGGAAATGAGCATTTTGTGAAAAGAGGGAGCTCACTGTGTCAGGTACTATGGAGAGGTTGGGGAGCATAATCGCTGAGAAAACGCCGCTGTGGATTTGGTGCTTCAGAGAGCACCGATGACCTTGGAGCATGTAATTTCCCTGGATGGTGGGGGCAAAGGCCAGGCTGCAAGGGTTTACATGCGTGAATGGTGAGGAGGAGGAGGCAGTGAATATGAGCTGGTCTTTCAAAAGGGTTAGCAGTGAAGCTCCTTTGCTTTACTGAGCAAATGATGTAGGTGTAGCAGAAGAGAGAGTGCTTTTGGGCTGGAGAGAAACCTGAATATATTTCTAGATAGTGAGGAAACTGCCAGGATAGAGAATTTGGAAATGCCAGGGAAAGGAGATGATTGAAAAAGAGGCCCTGAAGAAGTGGAAACAAGAGCACAGGAGAAGTTGTCTTGGCAAGAAGAGGAGCACTCCTGCCTCTTGGGAAGATAGAAAGGTACAGAGAAGTTTTGAAGTGAGGCAGAAAGGTTGAGGCAGCTCATGTAGG